AGGAGCGCTGGGCTCTGCGCTGGTCTGTTATTGTAGGGTCTCAGGAGCGCTGGGCTCTGCGCTGGTCTGTTATTGTAGGGTCTCAGGAGTGCTGGGCTCTGCGCTGGTCTGTTATTGTAGGGTTTCTCAGGAGCGCTGGGCTCTGCGCTGGCCTGTTATTGTAGGGTCTCTGGAGCGCTGGGCTCTGCGCAGATCTATTATTATAGGGTCTCTCAGGATGCTGGTCGAGGTGCTGGATTGTTATTGTAGGGTTTATCAGGAATGCTGGACGCGATGCTGGTCTGTTATTGTAAGGTCTCTCGGGACTGCTGGTCTCTGTGCTGGTCTGTTATTGTAGGGTTTATCAGGAATGCTGGACGTGGTGCTGGTTTATTATTGTAGGGTCTTAAAGAGGCCCTGACCCCTTCTTGCCGGGCGAGGCTGAGCTCCCAGTGCCGTGTGTGGCTGTGGAGTAGCTGTGCCGGTGCAGTACAGGGGGTGACCCTGGGGGCTGCCTGTGGGATAGGGGGTAAGGGACCTGCTCAGAGGCTCCCAAGGAGATCGGGGGGTGGATGGCGTGTGTGGGCGGGCAGTGACTGGTGCAGGGCACATGCCCATTACCAGACAGAGTCACGTAGGGGGCTCAGGACTGCCAGGGTGTGGGTGAGCTCTCCCATGCACAGGGGGGCTGGTAGGGGTGGGGACCCTCGGGCATGGGGCACGGTGCAGCCTGACCCTCACTCCCTCCTGTGGCTGGTCAGGGTCTGCATCCTGGTCAGGGGGCTATCGGGGGTCACTGGCAGGGGATGGGGAGCTGGAGTAAGACCCTCTGAGGGGAGAATGTGGGCAGCTGGTGATGGGCAGGGAGTCGTGGGGAGGGGCTGGCTGGGGGCAGGGGGTTGTGTGGGGCCAGGAAGCTGACTGGGGGGCCATGTGGAGGGCAGCAAGGGGAAGATGTGGGGGGCTGCAGACAGGATCCCCTGGGGGACTTGGCAGGGGGTGCTGGGTGAGGGGCCGGGGCTGGCTGGGGGTGTTGGGTGAGGGGCCATGGGGACCTGGCTCGGGAGGCCGTACAGGGGGCTGGGGCTATGCGGGGGCTGCACGTGCCCTGATCGGCACCCCCCTAACTCTCTCTCCTTCTCCTTTCCCAGGAGCTGTGTCCTAGGCTCCCCCGTGGGGCAGGCGGCTCCTCTGACCCCCTGGATCATCCCTGCGGGCCTGACCTCCTGTGAGCCCCCAGGGCTGCTTCTCTGGGGAGGGCGGATGGGGCTGGGGTGAGGGGGCCCCACGGCAGGGCCCAGCCTGCGGCTATGGAGCCCCTGCCCCGGTGCTGCCCCTGCAGGACGATCCGCTTGGTCTTGTGGGAATTGCAGCCCCTGCTCTGAGCAGAGCCCTCCCCGCCCGCCGCCCCCGCCGGACTCTCCACGCCGGGGACCCGCTGGCGCTGAGAATGTGCAACACCACCCTGGTGAGCTGCAACGTGGATTCCAAGATCGACCACCTCTTCCCCCCCACGCTGTACATCATGGTCATCGTCATGGGGCTGCCCACCAACTGCATGGCGCTGTGGGCCGCCTACCTGCAGGTCCGGCAGCACAACGAGCTGGGCGTCTACCTGCTCAACCTGTCCGTGGCCGACCTGCTCTACATCGCCACCCTGCCCCTGTGGATCGACTACTTCCTGCACTACGACAACTGGATCCACGGGCAGGAGTCCTGCAAGCTCTTCGGCTTCGTCTTCTACACCAACATCTACATCAGCATCGCCTTCCTGTGCTGCATCTCCGTGGACCGCTACCTGGCCGTGGCCCACCCGCTGCGCTTCGCCAAGGTGCGCCGGATCAAGACGGCCGTGGCCGTGAGCGCCGTGGTCTGGGCCATTGAGATCGGGGCCAACTCGGCCCCGCTCTTCCACAACGAGCTCTTCCACGACCGCTACAATCACACCTTCTGCTTCGAGAAGTACCCCATGGAGGAGTGGGTGGCCTGGATGAACCTCTACCGGGTTTTCATCGGCTTCCTCTTCCCCTGGGTGCTCATGCTCTTCTCCTACCAGGGCATCCTGCGGGCCGTGCGTGGCAACGTCTCCACCGAGCAGCAGGAGAAAGCCAAGATCAAGCGGCTGGCCCTCAGCCTCATCGCCATCCTCCTCTTCTGCTTCGCCCCGTACCACGTCATCCTGCTGTCCCGCAGCGCCGTCTACCTCAGCAAGCCTTGCGACTGCAGCTTCGAGGAGAAGGTCTTCGTGGCCTACCACAGCTCGCTGGCCTTCACCAGCCTCAACTGCGTGGCCGACCCCATCCTGTACTGCTTCGTCAACGAGGGGGCCCGCGGCGACGTGGCCAAGGCCCTGTCCACCCTGCTGCGCTTCCTCACCAGCTCCAAGCCCCAGGAGATGGCCACCGCCTCGCTTACCCTGGACACCCCACTCTCCTCTAAGAAGAGCAGCTTCTGCCGGCTCCCCGCGCCCCCTCAACCCCTGCCCCCGCCCCCTCCGGGCCCACCCGATGAGGAGCTGCAGATGAAGATCTTGACTTTCAACCCATGAGCTCTCCCTGTCAGCACCACAGCCCCGGATGCAAACGAGATGTAAATACAGTATTGTTCTTAATGATGATAACGCAGGGGCCCAGTGAGGCCCCGGGGGGGACACTGCAGGAGGGGGCTGCCTGGCCTGACGGGGGCAGTGCCAGGATTGCCGGACACCTGGGTTCTGCAGCCACGTGAGAAAGGGGGAATGGCCGAAATACAGCTAGAAGGGCTGAGCAGGGCTGGCTGGCTAGTGGAGTGTCAGGGCAGACAGACAGAGAGGGGTGTGTGTGTGGGGGGGGGAGGAATGGAGGTGTGATACAAACGGATGTTTGGAGATGGATGACTATGAGGATAGACAGATTGATAGAGGGATGTGTATAGGGATGGATGATGATGGGTGTGTATGGCAATGGATGGGGGGGGGCTGGAGGCATGGATATGTGGGGGCTGGAGGGGTGTGGATGGGGCTGGAGCGATGGATGGAGGGGTATGTGATAGGGCTGGATTGACCCAGAGGCTGTGAAGAACAATAGGTGGACAGAGCTGTTGGATAGATGGAGAGTGTGACTGGGACTGGGGAGGGATAGAGGGGGCAATGCTGCTGACCTGATGGTTAATGAGGGTTATTTATTTCCTGGGGGGAGGCTGGAGGGGCCCCACTGAAGGATAGGGGGCCTCCATGGGGGGATCAGGGCCCAGACGTGCCAGGCGCTGTACGTTTCTGGAGCGAATAGTCCCTGCCCCACAGGGAGCATTTGTGCTGCTAGATCTGGCCGTGCCAGGGGAGGCAGCCCTGGCCGGTGGGGGCCGGGATGAACAAAGCGGTGTTTTAATTGATCTCTTTCAGACTCTTCCTCCCTCATAAAGAAACCAAAGCAAAGTGCACAAGCCCCAAACCTCCCAGAATCCCCTGCAGGTTTGGCCAGCTGGGAGCGAAGGTGGGTCATTAAGGTCCCGCAGTCTGTACCAGGGATCCTACCGCTGCCACCAAAAGCCCACAGCTAATGATCAGCATGTGGCCAGGAACAGCTGCCCTTGCTGCCCTACATCCCTTGGCATTCACTGGGCACAGAATCTCCCTGGGCAGAGCCAGGACAGACCCAGGCACTTCTCCAGCCTACCTGAACCGGGCTCCTAGCTGCACTGGGGAGCCAGGACACCTGGGTTCCATGCCTGCCTCTGCCCAATGTGCTGGGTGACCTTAGGCAAGTCCCTTCCCTTCTGTGAGTCTGCCCCGTGTCCATCCAGCCTGGGAGCTCTCCTGAGCCAGGCCGTTTCCCGCTATGTCTGGGCAGCGCCCGGCCCATGGGGCCCCATTTGGGGTTGGTGCTACTGCAGTCCCCATGGCCTGAGGGCAATCTGAGACAAAGCTGAGGAGGGGGGGGGGCTCTAGGTCCCCCCCCCCCCCGTTCTCCAGCCACATGAGAGAATGCAGCCCATGGTCTGCCACAGGCGTCTCTCGGTGCCTGATGCTGGCGTCTCCCCATGGCCCCAGCCAGCGCCAAGCCCGCGTTGGCAGCAGACGTGGGAACCTCGCGCTAGCACCGGGCGGGCACTTTCGTCAAGGCCCAGTGAGGGACCACACTGGCATCCGGCTCTCCCGGCTGGGGAGAAAAGCTGGGAAAGGTTGGGGGGGGCCCAGGCACCCCAGGGAGAATAAAAAGCCCCCTCTCCCACAGAACTGTTTGTGACTCTCCTGATTTCGGAGGCAGTCTGGCGAATGGGGGGCCTGGCCGTGCAGGGTCCCACACTCAGCTCTCCGGGCGCCAGCCGGGGGCATCCGCTCGGCGAGGTGCAGTGGGACTTGGGATCCTAAAGAGTTTGGCGGAGCACTCCCAGAATGCACCGCAGTTGGCAGCATCTCTGGTGTTGGGGTGGAAAGGGGGTTTGGGAGTGGGAAGGGCTAGGCGGGGGGGCGGAGGCAGCTGTGCCCACGCATGTCCCCTGGAGTGGAGTGCGCCGTGTTGACCACTCGTGGGATTTCAGGGGGTGGTTCTGTGCAGCGCTCCCCCAGCACACCTGCTCAGCCCT